TGTATCCAAACTAGTTTTTAATGTATCCGATTTATGTTATAATGTGTCCAAAATATTCTTTAATGTATTCGGAAGATACAAATTTTAAGGGATTAATATATTTTACTCTTTACACTATGAAATTTATGTAAATTATACATTATTAAAAGGGTCAGTCCATCTCAACCCTTTTAACTTTCTACCACGTTAGGATTGGATTGGGTTGAGCTGAATTGGGTCAACCCATTTTGTCAGCTCTAATCTTTACTTGTCCAATACTCCTGAAAGTATGTAGTTGTACAACTTTACTTGTCCAATTTAGTAAAATCAGAGATAATTTATCATTTTGTGTCTATTTTACCTTTGTTACTCTCTCATCCCAATTTATGTGACTAACTTTCCTTTTTAGTAAGTCCCAAAAATTATAACACATTTCTATATAAAATAATAATTTGACTATTAAATGTCTATTTTTACTTTTGATGAAATGATATATAACTTCACAAAATTTAATTTTGATTATTCATTTTGGACGTTTTTTATTTTTTAAACTTTATATCAAGTCAAACTATCTCACATAAAATAAAACGGAAAGAGTATTAGATACTATCCATTCTCCAACATGAAGGAAAACTAACTAGTTAGTATTAGTACAAATTAATAAGATTTTAGGCCTGGTAGAAGCAAATGTAGGCCTAGTAGAATACAAACTCTTAAGAAACTGAAGCCCTGCTCGAATATAACTCGTAAAATATTATAATATGAAAACTATATTTTATGAAAAAGTTAAATTGGATCAAATTTAAATTAAAGTGCAAATGACCCTTGAGTGCATATATGAAATATCATGATGAATGTCTCACGCAAGGCATTAGGAGTTTTTGGGGAAAATTATTGCAAAATATGTTTTTCGCTTTTACAAAGAAGTTTGAACCCAAACCTGTAGTGCGAAAAGTATTTTCACCGTCCTTTTTTATTATTATATTGTCAATTAATTTTATTGGGAGGTTCGTAAATATATTTATTATTTTTTTAATATAAATATAAAAAAAAAATTAGTGAATTCATTTAAACTTATAGACCCCACCTAGATCTGTCTCTGATCGTAGGAGTAATATTTAATTACTGCATGCATGTTATACAACTTCATTGAATGTGTTAGAAGATACCTAGACAGTGGACATAACGTTTGATTCTTTCTATAGTTCCAATACTAGGATGAATCCTTAAAAAACACATATATCTAGAACCCAAAAAGAAACATCAAAGTGGTGTTCTAAAATCATATAAATAAAGGAATACATATTATCGATCGCCTCACCTTATATTATATCACTCTCATCGATAATTTTTATTTTTCGAGAACCAAACTATGTAAATTCTGGTTAATATTTTTAAATTGCATTTCAATCATCATATTAATTCGATAAGAATTAAAACTTATAGTACTTTTCGTATAGTCATCTAATATTATACAATTTAATTTACTTTAAAGATTAATCAACTCGACTCCGAAAAATCGAAAAGTGTTATTGTGGGAGTGCTATTCCATATTGTTTTTAATGCATGGTCCAGTTAATAACCCCCTAGTATAGCCTATAATATTTGTGTTATTTCAAACCTTTGTTCAACAAAAAGATATAAAACCATAATTTCTAGACTCTAGATATAGATAAAATTTTATTATATTAGGTTTAGAAAAATTATATACGAATTAATGGTCCCCAACCTATAGGTTATAGGCATAACATGATGATAATTAAGTGAAAGCATATTCCAAATAAAATTGTATTAGCTGTAAAATAATAATTGTGATGGTAATAATATATTTATTTTTTTTAGGAATAGGATGCTAAACGTTAAAATTTAGGTAAAGAATAATATCCTATATCTTTATAAAATGAAAAAAGGAATCCCTTTTTTCTTTGCTTTAATTTCCATTTGTCTTTATATTGTGGTCAAAATTAAAAGAAATCAATGTGTGTAACAATATTCCATTATAATCAAAAGGTGACAAACTTCTACATAGAGATGGAAATAATATATGTTATGTATTCATATATTCTTTAAAATGAAGAAACGACGAGATTAAAGAGATATCTAAATTTGTCTTCCTTTTTTTTAGCGTAATTATAAATTGTTGTTTGGTTTATTTTTTCATGAAGTATTGAAAATGAAAAGAAGTTTATTTAAATTTGGTCAAAATATTTATTTTTGCATTATTACTCCTTCTTGATGTATATATATGAAAGTAAATAATTATTGTTAGGACTTTATTTTAATAAATTAGATCTCAACCATTAATTCAAAATTATGACATGTGTCTTCAATCTAAACTTGGGGAAAATGGAGAGAAATCGAATCCTACTTACATATATTGAACTTGTGATTGAAAAAAATGAAAGAATTTAGCGAAGAGCTTTTTTTTTATATATACATTTTGAAGTTTAGTATATTTTTTTCAAGATCAAGGGGTCAAACTAAAATTTTAAAATGTATCGCTTTTAAGTGTAATTTAATCTCTAAAATTAGTTCAAATATGTTAGGGTTGTCAATGTCATATTAAAAATCACCCAACGCAAGATTCTTCACAAACTTCTTAGGTGCGGAGTAGGATATATGATGCGTGAACAAATTAATATAGAGATTCAATATCAAAAATAAAATTTGGAATTAGTTTGGCTCTGATACCATCTCAAGGTACGAACACAACTCAACCTCAAAAGTGAGTGCAAGAAGTTACCGAGATGATATTTAAGATATCATCCATCTGATTCCTTAAGTGTCGATGTGTCGGACTCTTTATACACCTCTCATACTTAAGACTGAACATCTGATACGTGAACAATTAAATATGAGGGTTAAACATCATAAATAAAAATTGAGATAAATTCTAATATAATACCATGTAAAAACATCCATAACATTTAAACGTAATTGAACTTGAAAAATTATCTAAAAAAATAAAAATTACACATATTATATTAAAGAGACAGCTCATCCGTGGAAAAGACATATAAATGTCACAAGAGACCACATGGTGAACCCATATAAAAGAAAGTCAACCTAATAAAAGTGATAAGGGGATCACATTCTTATTGTAAAACTGACCTTTCTATTCTTCAATAGTCCATTTCTCCTCATTGGATGATTTTGTAAGGTGTAACAAGTCACATATTTTGACTTATTTTAAATAGCGCAATAAATTATACATATAATTATCTTTTAAATGATTTGATAGTATATTTAACGATAACATAAATAATGCAGTGTACGCAAATGAGATTTAATTCATAACAAGTCAACTTATTAAAATAATTATTAAATCATTTGTAATGCCTCTCAACAACCAGCAGATCTAAACTAATAGAGAAAAAAATTCAAGAATAAATTAATTAAAAGCATGTGGAAGATTTGCAATTTGTAATGTGATGATTAAAAAAAAGAAGCTTAAACTCATCAACTTGAAGTCTTAATTGAAAGACAACCAAACAAATTATAATTAGTATATAGTTGATTGAAAAAACAGGATTAATGAAGAATTATTAAATTTAAGTACAAAAAGATATTTGAAAAAAAGTAACTAAGCTACAAAAATAAAGCAGTGCGATGTAAAACTACTAGTACTACTACTATATACAATATTGTGGATTTGTGGTACTAAGCTCCCACATATTTTTACTGTCTCGAAAAGATTGTTATATTTCTATATCATTGAATTGTTTAATTTTATCAGGCTCATTTTTTGCTTAATATAAAATTAAAATACATATTTTTAAACAAAAGTATTTATATGATTTAGTACTACTGATTTAAATGTCGGTAGATCGAACAGTTTATTTTAAGATTTTTTTAAAAATAAAATTGATGTCTAATCAAATATCGTTACATAAAATGAGATTGATGAACCATTATTATAATAGTAGAGATGCAAAATGTAATTAGAAGGGTTAGGATTAAGATAGTACTACTAAAGAAGATTAGGATTAATCACTCTTACCTAGTACTTAATAACTACTAATATTAATTTATAGCTATCTACAATTATATAAATCATTTAATTTTACTAAACATTATAATTAGTGGTCCATAGAGTGAAAGAGATTCCCAGAATCACTACAGTGCAAGCTAGTAATAAAACAAGGCTAGCTAGCTAGCTAGCTAATACCTACACAATTAGGTATTTAAAATATATTCTCTAAGAAAACAAACTCGTCCTTAATATAATTAAAATTGAAAAATAAATTTTATAAATGACAATTTAAGTTTCATTATTGTCTTCTTCTCACTCACCATTTAACTATCGCACTTCTGAACCCTCACTCTCACCCCCACCCCATTCCGCTCACATAGTATTTGCTAGATTGTACATAAATACTTTTGGAATATTAATTTATCTATTGTTTTGCTTACTTAGCAAATACTAAAAAATAAATATAAAAAATATATCTATATTGAGACAAAATATTTTCATGCCAAACACTAATTAAATTGCCTCCTCCTTCCTTATACACATGTTACTTGTTGTTTTAGCTCTAACACCGGTTTATTGATTAAAATAGTCATCAAAGGAATATTTAAGATTTTAAAAAGATGGATACACTATTACGAAATGGTGAATTTAAGAAATAAATTGAATCAATTTGATCTTTATATTTTTTTTAACATCAAAACTGTTAATTTTTTTAATTTTATAGGTCCAAATTAACTTTTATTTATTCAAATAGCATATATATATATATATATATATATATATATAAATCATGATTGATTATATGTTATATCATTCAATACTACTGGTTTTAATATAATATTTGGTTTAATTATATAAAAGATTACATTGCTAACTTTCTTTTAAAAGACTGACTTGAAAATTTTGAAAGGCTAAAAACAAATAAAAAAATATATATCAATTAAAAGGTCAAAAGTGTTATCAATAACCATTAAGGAATGTGTTGCTTGATTTTAGAAAAAAAAGAAGAAGATATATATAAGATTCAATTTCACGTCCTACGTAGAGAGGTACACTCAATTTACATCGCATTATATGATACTTTGAGTGTGGGTTAATTCATACATCTATATTAACATTTTTTTTTAAAAAAAAATAATAATGTAAGACTTACATAGAATCTCGGAGGGGGTAGGGGTTCACGTGAACCTACGAAATTACCCTAGATACGGCCCTAAAAAATAGTCTAAAAACACTCTTAACATGGTTTGCTTCTAACTTTGAATTTCTAGTAAGAAATTTTTGAGTATGTACAAATTATAATTTCAAAAAACTTAAACAAAAATAAAGCTCATCTTATATGTAGCTTCTATTTCTTTTTAAATATCAATATGAAACTTTGTTTATACGTCCAACGATTTCTCTATATAACATGGCTTATAAATGGCACATAAACTCATCCTCTCCTTCTCAATTAGTAACCTTTTCCCTCTCCATTTCTCTTCATAAGAAAAATGGTTGTACTAATCTGTTTTTCAGCTTTGTTAGTGACCATGATATGGATGTGGAGAATGGTGAATTGGGTGTGGATTAGACCAAGAAAAATAGAGAAGTGCTTTAGGAAACAAGGATTGAATGGACATCCTTATAGAACATTATATGGAGACACAAAGGAGATGGCTAAGTTGACTAAACAAGCAAAACTTAAACCAATGAAACTCACTGATGACATTCTCACTAGAGTCCTCCCTTTCTATCATTATACTCTCAATAAGTATGGTAAGATCCACCTTTATTTTTTCCTTGAGTTTTTCCTCTTTGCCTAGATTTACATATTTCCTATGGGATTATATGTGATTATGCTGGTGTTCGAATTAGTTTACACGCATCTTAATTAAATTTTTGGCACCTTACAGGCATCTTAATTAATTTTTTGGGCACCTCACTATCTCTTCCCAACAATGCCTTGTTATCTCCCACCAACAAATGTACGCATCACCATATTAAGTAACTTTGTTCATCAACATTTGAACAGATAAAAACAAATCATCTAGAATATAATCGTGAAATTTCATAATTCTCAACTTAATTCATTGACTACTGGACTACATAACTAGTTATATGTAAATCTCATGATAGCATTAATTGATCACCTGATGAAAATTGTAACTAACTGTAACTAACCTAGTATAATAACATGTGTAACAAGTTATACTAGGCTGAGAGGGGGTAAAAATCTTTATTTACATTCTCATGCATATATTAGAGTACTTGTATAAATCCTTTAATTTAGAAAATAAGAAAGTGAAAATCAGGTATATGAAGAAAAAAATAACTTTTTTTTTCAAATGAGATGTATGCAATAATTAAGGTGAAGAGGTGATTCTTACAAGTACCAACTTGAGCATGTAAAATGATATCAATCTGTGTGCTTTCATTAAGCTCTAGATATGGTTGTGTTAATATGCAAAAAAAAAAAAAAAAAAAAAAGTATATCAAATATGAAGCTAGTTATATTTTTAAAATGAAGAGAAAAAAAGAACAAAGGACCAACTTGTTGTAAAGTATATTTAGAGATCTATATTAGTTGCAGAATATTTATTTTCTTTCTACTCTAAAATATTCTAGAAATATAATTGCAGAATATTTTCTTTCCTTCAAGTTTAAGATCTACATTATATAAATTCTATAATATTTATTTTCTTTTTTAATTAGCATTAATAAGAAAAACAACAATTATACTCTTTTATTTTCAATTTATGCTATGACTTACTATCATTTATTCTTTTATACCCCATGTTATACTAATTAGTAGCTTATTCTACCATGAAAAGATGTAATTCAAAATAACTGTTTTTCCTTAACTAGTGGTCTAGGGTTCATAGAGCCCTATGTGCGTAGATATGTAATAGTGATAATAATTTTTAGGAAAAATTACGCGGATAAGTAAATTTAGACTATTTAATTACTCATCGTAGCTATATTATGTTATATACCACTCGCGACTAACATTATACATTAATTACGTGGACTGACTTTGAGTTTGTATAATTAGTCATGTTTGTATATGTATAATTCGCCAGGATATACAAATAAATATGTATAATATATAATTTTTTAGCCTATATACATATACAATTCACCTCTCTACCATCGCCGCTCTCTCTCGCTCGCCTCTCTCTTTCCTCTCTCAATCTCGCTCGCCTCTCTCCTCCCTCTCTTAATCTCCTTGCCATTTATACAAATGTATATGTATAATATATAGTTATATACAATTATATACATATATAATTCACCTCTCTCTCACTCTCTGCCCTCTCTCAATTGCCTCTCTCGATCTCGCTCGCCTCTCTCCTCTCTCTCCCAGTCTCGCTCGCCTCTCGCCTCCCTCTCCCAATCTCTCTTTCCATATATACAATTACATATGTATAATATACAATTATCTAACCAATCTACATATACAATTCACCTTCTCCCACTCTTTTCCCCCTCTCTCTTGCCTCTCTCCCAGTCTCGCTCGCCTCTCTCCTCCAAATAACATGTAGCTATAAATTGTAATTGTCAAACTACAACTATAGAGAGTAATTAATTATTTTTAAGTGGCTATATGTGAAAGCTTTCCTAATTTTTATTTGTGGGGAGAAAAATAAACATGTACTCCCTCCGTTCATTTTTATTTGTCATATAGCATTTTTTGAAAATCAATTTGACTAATATTTAAAGTTAATTTAGATTACATTAATTCGATATTTTAAATAAACAATTTAAATATTCAAAAACTATACAAAATGTACTATAAATTCCAATATTTTGCATATCAAAATTAAAAATATACCATAGAATGTTAGTCAAAAATTTTATAATTTAATTTTTTTTTTAAAAGAAAAGTACGACAATTAAAAATGGTGATAGTATAAATTAGAGGAAGAATTAAATAGTTGTGTAATGAAAATAGGGAACTTGTGGGAGTATAGCTTATTATCAATTTAATTTTTTTTTTTAAAAAATATATAAATGGAATATATAATTGTTATTTATGCGTGTTTCCCGGTAGGAAATGAGATCTTTTAATTTTTATATATACGTGGTCCTATAAATACATCCAATCATCAACCATCTTTGTTTGTGGTCCATTTTATTTGTGTTTTTTAAAAAGTTAGGATTCAAATTCAGGATCGTTTTTTGACTTATGTCATAAGATTATTCGAGTTTACAGGTGTCTTTGCTTATTTCTTTGTTTATTAAGATCCGTAAAATATATGGCTTATGTTTTTCTTAAACTTTGAATTTAAGTTTTATGTACTGACATTAAAATATATTTCATTAATTAATATAGTTTTATTTGACTTGTTATTTGCAAAGTAGAATTACTTAAATTTTATCCTCATAAAAAAGAATACCAAAAGTAGATTGAACCTTTGGAAGTACCATGCATGCACAAGATGCACACACTCAAAATTATTTTATTTTTAAAAAAATTAAAATGAAGAAATAAGGGACTAAAATATATTTGTAAACTAGAAGAAAGAGAAAGTAGTTATTACTCCTATATAACAACTATATGTAATAAAGGCATACTTTGACTTAATATTGTATAATGTAGTGATCAACGAGGTGTGATAAGATATATAAGTTCTCAGATTTAATCTTCTATAGTGACAATAAAATATTAGTGGGTGATTTCTTTCGGTGATATATGTGTTGATAGAAGATAGATATCTTATAAATTAATTAAGATACTTATAAGTTGAATCTAAAAAATAAAAATATTATTATGGAGAAGATGTCATCACCAAATTTAGGGTGTAAGAGGCTCTTTTCTACTCATTATTGTTATGAATAGCAAATTGAATTACATATTTTGCATCCAAATGTTCCTCTCATGTGATTATAATTAGCTCTCTACATTATTTTATCATAGCCAATTTGTAATCTAATATTGAATTGTCAACCTTTAAGAAAAAAGAATCAATTGGTAGAATTATGTTTATTCATTAATTAATCAGCAATAATAATGATTAAAGTGGATCATTTTAAATTTTTTTAATGAAAATTCTGACTTCGTTATCGCAGGAAATAATTGCTTCATATGGATAGGTCCAGAGCCTAGAATTTTCATAATGGAACCAGAATTAATAAGGGACATAGTAATGAACAACAACATTTTCAAAAAACCAAAACCAACTCCATTGGTACAACTTCTTGTGAGTGGCATCTCAAGTTATGAGGATCAGAAATGGGCCAAGCACAGGAAAATTCTTAACACGGCATTCTATACCGAGAAGTTGAAGGTACATAAGGAGTATTAGTTGTTGGTCAAAATTCAAGTAAAATTAAAATAAATAAGTAATTCTCTTCTTTCATTGAATAAATAACATGGTAATAGAGTAATAAATTAATAAGAACATGTGATAATGAGTTAGTGGATAAATAATGTAGTAAATTATAGAGGAAGAATGATGAGAAATACAACTACTTTAGATCATCCTTAAATAGTGCTTTAGAAAAAAGTTATAATATATAAAGTAATATAATACAATTAATTATTTAAAATTAAACTACACACTTCTCTAACATTTACTACGTATTTATTGATTTAAATTTTAAATCTATCTTTATAGTATGTTTCAATCAAATGTACACTTCACTAACAATTACTGTGTATTTACTGATTTAAATCTTGAATTTGTCTGTATGGTACGTTTTTTCGATTGGAATAAATCTTATAACATTTTTTTTTCCTCTTGAAAATTGTACAGTATATGGTGCCAGCAATGCACAAAAGTTGTGAGGATATGATGAACAAGTGGGAAATTCTAATTTGCAATAAAAATAAATCATGTGAATTAGATGTACATCCATATTTTGAAGATTTAACAAGTGATGTGATTTCAAGAACAGCATTTGGAAGTAGTTATCAAGAAGGGATGAAAATATTTCATCTTCAAAAAGAATTAGCTGAACTCACACGTCAAGCTTTCCAATCTGTTTATATTCCAGGATGGAGGTAAAAAATTAGTTTATATTATATTAATGGTGTAAATAATTTTCATACTAATAATAATTATATGCATGTTAATTACCAGTTCTATCACCCTATCATGTCACTCGGAAAATATCTACTAGTAAGTCTACGATTAATAATCTCGAAAATAAGATATATTGTTTATTATATGAAATATAGGCAACGGTGATCTGATAGTATAAAGTATCTCTATATCTATAAACGATATATGTATATAGCTTAAACTCTTGTACGTATATACTAAGGTATGACTTAATGGTCTTGCGTTTAAATCCCAGTTGAAACAAAAGTGCTTGGTGATTTAATTTCATCATGTCTATTTAAGTGCTATTGAATAGAGTTATCTAATACTTGTGTGTATAGACTTAGTTAGCCTAAAAAATTTTCTTTTTCCATTCGCTGTTTGATATCCACATGGGAGCCCGACTTAGTTTGGATTTATGTCGAAAAGTCTCATTGGGGCAAAGCACTCTGGTTAAACTTACCGCTCCACCATAACCCTTGTAAAACAATAATTAATCTATTATAATAAGTATCTCAATATTACATATAGTTATATTTTAAATGACCTGATTGTCAGTATTATATAAGCTATTGTGATAATTTCAACAGGTTTTTACCAACAAGAAGAAATAGAAGAATGAAAGGCATTGACAATGAACTCAAAGATACTTTAAGGAAAATTGTCAACAAAAGAGAAAGATCCATGAATTTGGGAGAAACTCAAGAGGATTTGTTGGGGATTTTATTAAAGTCCAATGTGAATGAAATTCAACAAAATGGGACCAAATTTGGTATGACAACTGATGAAGTAATAGAAGAATGCAAACTTTTTTATTTTGCTGGCCAAGAGACCTCTTCAAATTTATTAGTTTGGACTATGGTTTTATTAAGTGTGCACCAAAATTGGCAAACTAGAGCTAGAGAAGAAGTTCAACAAGTCTTCCACAACAATAAACCAGATTTTGAAGGGTTAAAGCGTCTCAAAATTGTGAGTAAAACAACCTTTCACGTGCTCTATTACTCTTGTTCGTTTCGATTTGTTTGTCCGATTTTAACTTGACATAGAGTTCAAAAAGTAAGGAATACTTGTGAATTTTATGTTTAAAGATATATCAAATTTACTTTTTAATCTCAAGGTATTAAACATATCATATGAAAAATTAAAAGAGAAGTACTAAATAGCCAAAAAAAAATTGGCCAGAAATTTAAAAAAACTATAATTTTTTTTACTTTGAAATATACTGATTTCTTTTTCCATTTTTTAATTAAAAGATATTAAAATCAAAAAGGTAAAAATGTTTTAAAAGGTAAAATAACATTCTGGCCAAATTTTTTTGCCAAAAAGATTTTTCCAAATTGAAATTAAAAAGTTTTAAAAAAAGAATAAAAGATCGTCTTTTTAAAAAATAGACTAAAAAAGGAACATACGACAATCAATTCGAAATGAATATCTCTTTATGGGTTAAGAGTGGTTGAAGAATAAGTAAGATCGAGATTTATGTGTGTTATTTAGTTTAACTGTGCACAAATATGAAAAAATTCAAAACTATGCTTAGATTAATGAATTTTTAAATAGAAAGTATATCTTTATAAACTTTTTGTCAGGAACTTACAAATGTGTCATTTTTATTAGACCGATTAAAAGTGTAACATAAATTAAAACAAATAACAAACAAAAGTTAATAGCCAAATTTGAACATGTACTATTTAGAATCTAACATTTGCTTCAATTGTTTGTATTATATTAATATAAACAGGTTACTATGATTTTGAATGAGGTACTAAGGCTATATCCACCAGCACCATATTTCCTAAGAAAAGCAAATCAAGAAACAAAGCTAGGAAATATGAATATTCCATCTGAGGTTATTTTAATGATACCAACAATATTTATTCATCATAATGAAGAATTATGGGGTGATGATGTTAAAGAATTCAAGCCAGACAGATTCTCTCAAGGAATTGCAAAGGCAACGAAGGATAGGCTTTGTTTTTTGCCTTTTAGTTGGGGTCCTCGTATTTGCATTGGCCATAATTTTGCTATGATGGAAACTAAAATTGCCTTAGCTATGATCCTTCAACGTTTTGCATTTGAACTTTCTCCATCTTATACTCATGCACCTACTTATGTTGTCACACTTCAACCTCAATGTGGTGCTCACTTAATCTTGAATAAGTTATAGACAATACTCTTCGGATTCTTCATAAATGGATCAATTTTCTTTACTTATTTTGAAGAATTTAAACATATATTGTTCTGGATTTGTTATTATGACTCATGTTTGCATTACTGTAAGGTTGTTTATATTATAGACTTTGACATGTTATTTACAACTGAGCTTTTAAATTTAATTTTCTTTTTCACGAATTTTTAGTGCTAGTAGTATAACTGCTTTTTGTTTTGGAGTGAGTTTAAATCGACATTATTACTCAAAAACATTAGAAATATTGAAATAAATCAATCGAAAAAGGCTGGCGCAGTGATTTGGACTTGAGTATTTTCACATTGGGAGATCTTAAATTCGAAACTATTTGCCAGCGAAAGCAAGAGATGTGCGGATTACCTTTCTTGCGTGATTAGAAGCAAGAATTTCAACTCTGCACGCTGTGCAAATTACCTTTCCTACGTGATTTTTTAACTCTGCACGCTAAAATAGGTGATTGGTTAAGAGTTTCAAAATCAAGCAATAAAATTCATATCATAATTAACATGTACTTAAGAAAACTGAACGGCGTGTTATTAAAATTTTGGGTTAATTAGAAAACTTTGAATACAAATCCTTTTTGTTAGTTTGGTTTATTAAGAACATTTAAATCAGAAAAACTAAAAATACTTTATAATACATTCGAAGATTTATCTATATTACTTATAAATGGCCACAAGTTCATATTTGATAGCTTCAAATTAACAAAAAAGGGTCTAATTAGAAGAGTTTAGTTAATATTCATGCCACAACAAAAAAAATTAGAGTGAAAATAATTAACAGATAGATTAACCTAATCTAATTAGGCAGCTAAAATGTAGAGCAAAATCCGTGAATTAAAACACGATGAAGATTAAACACGATGAAGGAACGTGCAGAACCTTGAAACTGCCCTAATTTGCATATAGGCCGGGTGAAATTGAATTCCCACACACAAAAAAAGGAACTCATTTGGATCGGCCGTAAGTGAAAATAAGTGAAAATAAAGAAAGAAATAACAAAGAAATGTGAGACCTTTCTCTACGGAAACAATCGATAAATACAACAATTGCAGAGATGAAGAAAGGACTGATAATCAGTATATGCCCGCAACGGAACTAGAGCGCCATTGTTTCATAAGCTCGCTCTGATCTCTCATAGGCAATATTCTAAACCCTAGCTTCCATGGTCATTTATATAGAGTTTTGTTTGTTGGGCTTTAACAGGTTGGGCCTAATACTTTAGCCCATAACAGCTCATCTTTTGGAATTTTAACTACTTGTAGTACATAACAATGTTCTTTAATTTAGTCTCGATTGTAACCTTACGTGTATATATAGGACATAATACACATGTATCTACTTATTCATCATTACAAATTTAACGTAAAATTTTTTCATGTAAAAGGCATGTTCTTACGATGTAATTAATGTTTGTGAAGATATTTGATATCTTAGACATTACCTGGATGATATAGGTTTTGTGTATGTGTAACAGGTGTCTTAACACTAGAGCAAAGGACAAAAACCACATAGAGGCGATAATTACAGAAATTTCTCAAACTGATACAATAATATAAGCGCTGATACATTAATTCGATGTGTGAGATACATTAATCGTTAAGTAAGATACATTAAATTTTATACATGATACACTAATCTAATGCGCGAGATACATGAATCTGATGTGGTGATATATTAATTAAATGCGTGAAAATGAGGGGTTTTGTGATTTATATAATTAATTGCCAATTTAAGAGAAAATTGCTTTGAAGAAGAAGTGAAGAAATCAGAATTTCCAAATGGTTTTCTATTTGGAACTTCAACTTCTGCAGATCAAGTATTTCATACATCTTTTCACTTTTAATTTTTGTTGTTTGGTGATAGAAATTATCCGTTGTTAAAAGATTTTGGTATGTTTCTCTTGTCGTGTATATTAAGTCAAATTTTTGTATAATAATTAATATCATTTGTTTCGATATTTTTTTAGTGCTTTAACGAAACTTTATTGTAAAGAATATGAAAGATTGAAATGATTTCATGTGAAACATGATTGTTATATGCTTAAAGTTGAAGATTTAGTCAAGTCATTCAACTGCCGCTTAAAATTTAGCATATACAAATAAAAAAGTTGCATAATAAGTGATTAGAGTTCAAAATAACCTTCTATCTTCAACAGAATTCACTTATGTAATTATATATAGTAGCAATGCAATTTACTTGATGTGTTACACAATTGGTACCAATTTCTACGTCGAACTCAACTTTCTTTCCCGGTAATATATTGTCAAAAAAGTTATAATATCTTTATCGTATTTCAATTTATTTAGGGATAATTGTATATAATAGCAAACTAATAACTTAAAATAAATGGAGTAGCTACTGTTTGATTTAATTGTGCCTCATAGCAAACGTTTGTCAAAGTTTGTCAGTTGCCTCTCTCCCAAAACTCTCGCTCGCCACTCTCCCGTTCTCACTCGCCACTCTCCCTCTGCTCACCCTCTCGCTTTATACAACAGAACTGTATAAATTGTGTTTCTATTTTGTATAAACCAAGAGAAAATTGTATATACACATGCAAAAACATATATATTCGTGCTATACACTTAATTATACAATTTACAAACATTTTACTTCGATTTAATTGTATACAAATGCAAACTTTATACAAATATTGTAGCGAAAAAGGCCAGCGAATTACACAATTGTAGTGAAATATAATTTTCTCTCGCTTTATACAACAGAAGTGTATAAATTGTGTTTCTGTTTTTGTATAAAGCGAGAGAAAAACATATATCTTCTTCCTATACATTTATAATTATACAATATACAAACATTTTACTTCGATTCAATTGTATGCAAGCAAATTTTATACACTTATTGCAACGAAATATGCCAGCGAATTATACAATTGCGCATTATACAATTGCAGTGAAATAGGCCAGCGAATTACAATTGTAGCGAAATAGGCCAGCGAATCATATAATTGTATATGTATAGCGAGGCCAGCGTATTGTACATTTGTATATGTATAGTGAATTATACAGTTATATGTTTGCTATGGAGCGTAATTATGCAAATTTTGATGTAGCATACAAATATGAATTTTTTTTTGCTATATGTGAAAGTTGCCCATTTATTTATCCCATGTTTTACTATAATGTTGATTGACAACTCAAAAGTAAAACTATAGTGTACTCCGTGATTTTTATCATGTGCATACAATTTTGAGAAAAATGGTCTGAAAAATACTTCAATTTGGTCGAAATTGTTATTACGATATCAAACTTTATGAAACTCGCGCATTTAGAAATTAAAAATAAGAACAACTGAAAGTTAAAACTATTTTATTAAAAAAAGATGCAAATACTCAGGTTCAAACTCGTGAAGTAAGCGCTGGCCTTGTGAAATCCTAAACCCCCTAAACACTGAGCCAAACCCTTTGCTTATATTCAGGGGGTTATCACTTAATATATACCTCTAAATCAAAAAAATTATCCTATATATACAACATAATTTTTTCGACGAAGAGGGTTCATTCCTCGGCCCCATGTACTTCCGCCCCTGGTGTTTAAAACACTCTTAATATAAACTTAGCGCGAATTTAAGGATGTATTCCACTCATGTTACAAGATCGGGTATATTTATGTTTAGTTAGTCAAGTAAAGGAATGTTTTTAAGGTTTTCAATAGTCCGAGGATGAAACCAATATTTAGGCTTAGTTTGGCATATTTTTAATACTTCTCCCTAAAATAAAAAGTAGGATATAGGTAAAATTTTATTTAAAAAATAGGATAAAAGATGAAATATATAATTATTAAATAATAAAGAGTGAATTATTCTAAATATCTCTAAATTTGGTGTAAATTATTAGTTTCATCCATGAACAATTGTTAGCCTTAAAAACACACTTTAATTACTTGACTAACTCAAGTTAACTACACCCTTGATCTTGTAACATTAGTAAAATACACTCCTAAATTCTCGTCAAGTTTAGGGGTGTTCTTTCAAGAGTTTGAGACCACTTCTATGTCATGTGGCATATCGAGAGTGTATCGGAAGTGTATCTAAGTTTAGTTAATCAAGTAGAGTGGTGTTTTTAAGACTATCGATAGTTCGAGGATAAAACTAATAATTTGCGTCAAATTTAGGATGTCTTTCATATTTCTCTGAACAATAAATAAAGATAAAATAAGAAAAAAATTATTATATCAACTAGGCAATCACACCAAATTAATTATTACATGAAATGACTTTTTTCATTGTTACCTAACAATGTATTTAAACGATACGATATAATAAATTTAAACATGCCCGCAAACCCAAGTGATTTCGGATTTAATTAGGACACACATTTCCTACTCGTAAAAGGTTTCTAAATTTCCAAAAATAGTTTAGTCCTAGTCCTGTAAGATTTCTAAAATCAACAACTTATATTATAAATAAATATACACAATTCCTTGAAATTGTGCATCACGCAATTATTTTTTTTAAAAAAGGAAAGTTACTGATTACTCTTTATTTATCCGTTAGATTATTTTATTTATAAAATATCCTAATCCTAATTGTAAAAGGACTTAATTATGGCATGTAATTGAAACTCCAAATCATAACAGGTTTATGAAAGAATTAAAATTATAAATAACCTTGCCTTGCATTCAATTATTCCATCTTCAAATTAAACTCTCCTGCTTTTTAATACTTCGAGATTTGTCATATTATTTTATTCATTATAATTTTGAAATTATTAGTTCTTTAGCAATTGCATACTCATAATTTTTTATCAAAAATAATAAATGTGGAGTCCCTTGGATATTATTTACTGTATTTGGTTAGTAATAGTACTTTATTATTTCATAAAAATAATATATCAGTTTTTTCACGAAGAGTCACTCTCACCACAGACGGTTAATATTTCAGAAATTCCACAAAATCATAATGTGGCTATAGAAAGAGCTTTGGTTATGGAAGTAGTGATCGATATTCCCGATGATGATCGAAAAATTCGAGGTATAAACAACGATTGTTGTATCTGTTTAGGAGAATTTGAACAAGAAGACGATACGTGTCATGAACTTATACTTTCTACTTGTCGTCATCGATTTCATGCGGCTTGTATTATTCCTTGGTTATTAGCAAAAAACAAGACGTGCCCATTTTGCCGGACCTGCGTTACTACTATCACCACATATGCTCAAGTTGAAGATTTAGGGAAGTTGTTCAACGGCCGTTTAAAATTTAGCGTCGATACAAATAAAAAAATATTTATAATAAGTGATTAGGGTTCAACTATATATTATCTTCTATCTTCAATAGAATTCACTTATATGTAATAATAGTAGCTGTGCAATTTACTAGATGTGTTACACAATTGGTACCAATTTTGTATCGCCAATCATATATTTATATAAAAGAGAATCCTAGGTCTGCCTACGTGGCGTTATTGTAAATCAGGATTCCTTTTTAAATTTATTATTTCCAAAATTAGGCGTCCCTTTTCATGAAAAGTTGTGACTTTGATGAAGAGTTGCGATTTTTATGAAAAATTGCGACTTATATGAAAGGTCGTGATCTTTCAAGAGAGTTGTAACTTTTTCAAAGACTTGTGACCTTTCTGATAAGGTACGATAAGTATTTGTTCCATTATCCTATGTTGTCTATAAATATAAGAATTTCCCAACACTATAATTTGTAGGGTTTTCTTTTTCCGTTATAGGATAGTCAGATTCAAATACATTAATTAAATTTTTCCGAAGTTTGTTTCATTTCTGAAAGTTTTCGTCTTTCAATTTCAAGAAGCTTAATTTTTACTTTAAGTCATAGTGATTCATGTAACTACTGCTATATATTTCTTTTTCCTATTTTGATGATTTTTTTTTACTCTGTTAAAGTTTCAGTAAGGATGATTGAAAACTGATCTTCTCTTTTGTCTCTTTCTACGGGTTTCTTCATATAAACAAATGAAGTTGATTTCAATTGCAATGCGACATTAATACTCTTGGCCTCTTGGTGCACAACTAATAACGTTGTTGAAATGGTTGATGGTTCAATTCATTATATTTGGCTCTTTAGTAAACAAATACTTTATTTCTGCCGCTATTGTTTATATGCTTTTTTTTTAATTCAAATATATTAATTAAGCTTCTTATTAAGTGTGTTTCATTTCTCAAAGTTTTCTTCCTC